TGACAGCAAACATCTCAGAGAGAACTGTTCAACTGAGGTAGGTGGATAATAAGGGAAAAGTAGAACACTTACAGAGAATTGATGTCTGGAACAAAGATATAATTTGGACCAATCTGCAGATTAATTAACATTTTAGATCTTAGAGAAATCGTTTAGGTCAAAACTTTCCATTGTTAGGTACAGAAACTAAGATTGTGCAAGTGATGGATTTCCATAGAGTTATGAAATTTATAGTCCAAATTCTGAATCTCAATTCTCAAGTAGTATTTTATCATAATGATTTATTATCTTATTTGCTCAAATTTTTAATTACAACTTGCAGAAGAATATTTACCCCTAAATCAACAATATTACAGCTGCTTTACCCACATCTACTGTTCATAAATTAGAATGTGTTTTGTGATAGAAGCAAAATTAGTTGTCTTTGATGGTATTTTTCCCAACTTTCTCTCAAAGGTGATTAGTACCTGGATTCCATAATTCTGAGAATAATGGACTACCTTTTAATGGGGGTTAATGAGAGCATAATGAAGACAGATGACCAACTATAGCTCAGTTAGGCCTTCTGACACCCAGAGCCATGTCCTGTCTGGGCCCAGATATTTTTCAGGTAAATATAGTTCATCCTTCTATATCCAGCATCACTGAGACTAAATACAATTCAGATCATCAACATCTTTATACTCTGGAAATGTTTTGCAAGATGTAGTTTTCCTGTATAAAGGAATATTGATTACAATATTTCCATGAGACTTTAAACCATTGCATACACTCTAGGGTCCTGTGGAGAAGCACCCTATTTGGATGCAGGAAAAATTATATTGTCCAATTGATTCACATAATCAACCAGTTTCTAATGAGCAGGCCAGGTTCAATATTTTCTTGGTATAATCATACTAGTTTGCAAGAATCAGAGGAAAGCCAGGTGACTGCAGAGAAAGAATGTTTAGTGTGTGGCTTTGTGTACAGTATTTATTTGTACAAACTTACTAGAGCTTCTACACTGCAGTGATTTCAGGCCACCATTCTATAATAGTAGTAGGGGCTACCAGTTTTCCAAGAAGTGTTTTATAGACTTCCTGGTATGAAATTATATTCAGGGACAGTTAATCATCCTTTGCTTTGTACTTTATATTTGCCTCTAATTTTTGCTCAATTTTTCTATCAGTTGGATCATCCTCATTTATTGTGCACACCCCAATATTGTTGACTATTTTGTCGAGTGAAATCTACCTTAAAAATTCAAAATTTGCCATCATCGATGAATCCACGAAGCAAGCATCAAACTCAGCTAATTTCTTAAAAACAGTCTTGAAAATCTTCTGTAAAATGGCAGTGGCACAGGCTTTGGGATATAAATTTTTAGTTATTTTTAACCTTTCTGGGGTCAGCGATCCCTATGAGAATGTGATAGAAATTGTCTCCTGGTAGAAAAAAATGACCATATTAATATATAAACACATTTTTATGTCTTTTTCAAAGGGATTTATGGATCACTAGAGTATATCCAAGGATCCCCTATGGTTAAGAGTGTTTATTGTAAGGGAACATTTTGGGAAAACATAGTGCTTATTTTGATTTATAGTTTATGTATGTTTATAAAAAATTCAGTAGTGTCACTTGTTATCATAGCTTAAATTCATACATGTACTATTCCTTGTAAATATGTATAACTGAATCCATTAAGTGACTTACTTTTTGGAACTCCGTTTTATGGAAGTTTAATTTTATTTTAATTAATTTTAAATATTCAGTGTTCTTTTAAACCTTTTTCCAATAAGAGGGTTTTTTAATTTATAAAAGTGTTTCTTTTTTATTCTTGTTAATCTTTAAAGCATATCTATGTATAGACCTTTGCCTTGAATATTTGATTAAATATTCTTTTGAAAAACTTCTTTAAATATGACATTGACCCTATAGTATTTGAAAGTCAGAATCTTCATATAAGTTTAATTCCACTTTCTGCTATTTAAAAAAAAAACATTGAATCTCAGAATTAGGTGATAACTGTTTTACATTTTTTAACATTGCTAAATTATAATTTTTAGAATTACATAAAATGCAAATCCAAGGTACTGTAAGAATTTGGTATTTACAACTATATTTTTCATGGTAGCTTATAGAACTAATAAGCTCTTGTGTCACCATTTATTCTGGTGTCCTGGTATTTTTAGATCGCTATAACAAAATTCCACAAACTGGGCGGTTTATAAACAGAAGATATTCACTTTTCACAGTTCTGAAAGCTGTGAAGTCCAAGATGAAAGTGCTAGCTGATTCAGTGTCTGTTGAGGGCCCACTTGCCAGTTCATAGAGCCTCCTTGCTGTGTCCCCCACGGAGGAAGAGATGAAGGAGCTCTCTCACCCTCTTTTGTGAGTGCACTAATCCTGTTTCTGAGGGTTCCACCCTGATGACCTGACCACCTCCCAAAGGTTCCAGCCCCTAATGCCAGCACCTTGTAAGTTAGGATTTTAGCACATGAATTTGGGGGAAACACAGCATTCAGACTGTAGCATTGTATATATTTCCTCACTGTCATTATGTATAATAATTTCATATAAAAATGCAGTATAGCTTCTCTTATATCCTAAACAGACAATCTTTGTTGTCATTTCATACCCATAGCTAAGCATAATTTGATCTGATCCATGGATTAAAATACAAAGAATCAAACTGAGTCTTGGCTAAAGCTTATGAGGCTGAAAATTCAAGGAATACTTTTAATAGAGTAACCTCAGCATAAACAATCTTCTATAGCCACCTAGTTATTTGTAAATCATTATTGACAAATGTGGAGATAGAACCATTTCTGGAGAAGAGACTTACAAAGAAAAGAGTGGGATTGGTAGTGGATGATGGAGATATGAAATCCTTGTCATCACACAGACACATGTATATTTGTGTACATAATGACATATATATTTGCATACATAAAATACTGAAATGGTATATTTTATATTTGTAAGATACATATTCTCTCATATATTTTATTTCTAAAAATCAGGATACACCTTAGAATTTATAATGTGTTATAGTTTATTTGGCAGCATTAAGTAATAGTGCAAATACCCATTGATAATATGCTGCATTCAATGAAATGCATTACATAAATTGCACAAAAAATTATGTAGAGCACATAAGCTCAAAAAGGGTCTCACTAATGTTAAGGCAACTCTCTAAGAAATCAAAATTAATCAAGCTCTAATAGGCTGAAGACAGATTTTGATGACAAAACCTGAGCAAGGTAGTGATTAGTCAAATGTTTTTCACTAAACGTATGAGAATCATTAGATTACTTATAAACTTATAAAATCAATGTAAATAACCTTTTAAATGACATTTCTTAAATAATAATTGTGCAGAAACATACTGTTAATATAAGTGATATACATTGTCGTTAAATATTAATGAATAAATTCTAAATGCATGTGAAAGTTCAGATAGTCTGAAAATAATGATGTTGAGAGAACTGAGAGTAGAACAAAGCTGCCTATTCAATAACACTTTCTAAAAGCAAAACCAAAACATTTTCAAATTAGACTAATGCACATAGCTTCATTTTCAACCATCACTTATTTTCAGTGTTAGTGAACAAAATATTCAAGAGATATTTTTGAATCCATGTTAGTTCCAAAATTCAAAAGGGCGTATTTTAATGAGAATCAGTTTAAAACAATTTGCAATGAATGAAATAACAGTTTAGAAAATACGTATATGCTCCATTTTGCTTCCAAATCTTGACTTTTAAAACTTATTGTTAGTCTCAGAAAAAAATAAGAAACAGTGAAGATAATTAAGCATTTGCCTTAGGGGAATTATTTGCAGTTAATTAAAACCCTACACTTCCAGTATACATGTGCTTCACTGGTTATTAAATTTGAATCACAGATTAACTACCCAGGTTTTTCACTTGTCCACCAAATGTTGCTTGTAGCATATTGAAGAAACAAACTTTCTCATAAAATCCCAAACCATAATTTTTGAAGCTGTTTCCCACTTTTGAGGACAGAAGAGAAGGAAAAGAGCGAAGAGGTAAAGGAAAGCAAAGAAGAATGATTTATGTTAGACTACATCATATTAGGCTCTGTTAGGAAGTTAACCTTCAACTGAGGGCTTCAAACTCAATAGAAAAATCCACTTATAAGTACTTTACAGGTGTTAAGTCTGCCGTGTCCGGTTGTCTCCTGGTCACATGCTGACAAGATTGTCTAGTGGCTTTTAAATACCTTTGAATAACTTTTCTTTTCTAGCTACATAAAGCATATCTAGTAGATTGCAAGCTCAATAAAGGCAGAGATTTGGTGTTTTTCTTCCTTGTTCCTGGTCAGCATTCAGAACACTTAATATTTGTAAAATGAATGAAAGAACTATTTCCTATATTCCTCTTGATCCATTCATAGGCTTGTCTCAAAGCCTTTTTAAATAACTTCCAGAGAGACCTGGGAACATTCAGAAGTACAGCTTTGCAAGATCTCATAGTCATAGAGTCCTTTTTGACATGTTATCTCCTGCATAACATTCATTATAACAACAACAAAAAAGATGTGTACTCTGATTCCATATCTCAAAGAGGTATGAGAAAGAGATCAGCATTACCCACAACAGGTTTGCATTCCCTCATTGCTGTTGTCCAATTGTCCTGGTACCTGGGGAAGATGATCTTAATTATCACTGGATTTTCAATGTGTTATATCTGACTTTCTCAAGGACCCAAGGCTCCCATATGTAAACAACTACAGTCCTAGGAGCATTAAGAACATTAAATTTAGATATTACTGTAGTCTTCTCTATTTTTTCCTTCCTTTCATATCCTTTCCCACAATTCTATGACTTTCATTATGTTTTTTTTTTTCTTTGCTGCAAAAATACGCTGCCAACTACACCTCTACCTTTGTAAGCTTTGTGCATGCTCCCAGAAACAAATCTCTCATGTCAGGATTGGAAGCTGCTTTTTTTCTCAGTTAAAAATGCTGATCAAAGTTTTGCTTGTTTATTTCAGAATCTGCAAAGGATGACAATATTATAAAAGACAGTGAAGTAACAGATCATTCTGTTGTTGACCAAGACCATCCCAATGGTAAGTAGTGAGTTCATTTTCTCAGTTTTCTTTTCCTCATTGGGAAATATTACTTTGTTTAAAAAAACAGATTTGAAGGTTTTTTTTAGGGAAAAATGAAATTCTGATAATATTTTGTTAGTGCTAAGAACTAGATGACTGATAGTTGGCATCTTGAGGTGGGCTTTGCCTTTCGCAGCCCTCATCTTTCATTCTTTTTGTACCCCGCTGTCTTTGTTTACTTTACTTATTGTTACCTTCCTGGATTCTCTAAGCATTGAGTTTGCAAGTAATCAAATGAATGTGTGCTAAGAATGAGAATGAGTAGAAGTCATCTGGGAAATAAACCCAGAAGATTAAATCTGCATATCCTTGGAATATCAAGAAGAGAGAATAGAACCAGCAGAAATGAAGCATTTTTAGAAAAATAACAGAACGTAGTTTTCCTAATCTAATCAAGTTTCTCTACCTCATATACAAGAATACACATTCTTTTTATAAGCAAAGATAACGCAAACTCAAATGAGAATAGACATCTCCATAACCTGTGGAATTCCTGAAGAGCACTGATAAAGGAAGGCTTTGAAATCAGACAAAAAGGAAAACTTGGCTTATGAGCAGTATCACCAGAGTCAAACTGGCCTTTGCCTTCTTCCTCCACAGCCCTAAATTACAGGAGAAAACGAGGTAACATTTACAGAACTCTAAAGGCCACAGCTTCTATATTTAGTGAAGTTTTATTCATGCATGAAGTCAAGAGTAATATTTTCTCAGTAATACAAAGATTTTAAAAGATGCCACCCAGATATGCTTTCAGAATAAACTAACCAAAGGCCTGTACAAAGTATTAAATATAGAAAGGCAGGCAAAATTCAGGACTAAGCATGATAAAGTCGGAAGGGACTATATGCTAGGAGACTAAGAGTATGAAAAGGCCAAAATAATTATTTCAAAATTATTATTAATATATCTTACCTAAATATGCTTTAACACTGAAATTTATTGTATATGATGTAAAAAAAGACAAAGAAAAAGACTTTCCTTAGTAACAAAAGCCAAAAGGGTTTAGACCATTTCTCTCACTAAAGATTACTAGACAACCTAGACAAAGCTATATATTATTTACATATATTATATTATTTTTATTACATATTATATACACATACCATATCCATTGCATTTAATGTCTTGTATATATGTTGAATACATAATATGTTCAATATAATATGTATTCTATATATATTAGACAGAGAGATTTTAAGCCATCCTAGATCTAACAAGAAAGTACAGAACTGTTAGTCTAAGTTCTGAGTAAAGAATGTCCAGATGTGTGAGCCTTGAACTCAAAACTGTTTTTACCTTAGATCATTTTCTAATTCTGAAAAAAATACTTCTGGAGCCTCATTGTTGAAAGACGAAAGTTCCTAGTAACTCCTTGTGTTTGGAGCTGAAAGTGAAAAGATATGCCCTGTGGGAGGAAGAATGAGCCAGCAGTAGATGAAACTTCTGAAGGCCTGCTGCTCACATAGACGTCATCTCAATCCCCAAATTAAACAAGAACCAGCTCAGATGGCTAGTCATCCTGGGCACCTAAGATAAACACACTTAAAATATTGACTGGAAGAAAAGTCTTGTAGGTTTTGTGTATTTTATTAATAGTTTGTGAAATATAATGTCCAGCACATACATGCAAAAATAGCCAAAAAAGAGGGAACAAGGTACCATGAAACATAAAACAAAGAGGTAAGTTATACCCATATAAGAAGAAAAAAATAGTCACAATGTCAAAGTATAAAATAATTATTCCAATTATATATGTATAAAGAAGTAAAAATAAGACTGAAAATGTTACCTGAGAACTGAATATTGAAAAACAAGAAAAGAAAAGAGAAGTAAAAATTGATATAACTGAAATTAATAATTCAGTTAACACTTTTATGGTTTAATAACATATTAGACACAGGCAAAAGAATTTATGAACTGTATGTAAGGGTAGAAGAATATATCCAAAATAAAATCAACAGAGAAGGAAAGAATGACAAACACTAAAGAAAAAGAAAAGATACTGAAGATATGATGATTAAGTGTATCATACGTTACAAGAGAAAAAGATTTGGTTCAGGGCAGTATTTGAAGATACTATGGTGAGATATATCCTACATTGATGAAAGATACTGGCCAAATGATCCAAAACCCTTTGAACTCAAAGCAGAATAAATAAAACTTAAATCCACCACTAAGCCCATTATAGTAAAACTGTTGAAGGCCAAAGACAAACAGAATATCTGAAAAAGCCATCTTCAAACATTTATATGATCACTGACTTTTCAATGGATGTAAGGGAAATAAAAATACAAGACAGCAAAAGAACTGCCAACCAAGAATTCCAAACCCAAGGGAAAAGCATGTTTCAAAAGTAAGGTTTGTTAAGAACATTTCAGAACAAACTAGAGAGGCACAATTCATCACCAGTGGTTTCTGGTGATCTACAGATGGGAAGATATTAATTCCAGGTAGACAATCAAAGACAAAGGAAAGAATTAAGAACAAGCTAAGTGATAATTATTGAGTATGTTTAAATGAATATTGATGATACAAATCAATAATAACACTGCCTTGTAGGAGTTAAACTACATACTGCATCAAAATATTCCACAATAAGCCAGGCATGATGGTTCATGCCTATCAAATTCCAGTCCAGACTGGGCACTTTAGTGACTTACTGTGATCCTGTTTCAAGATAAAAAATGTTTTAAAAGGCTAGAGATGTAGGCCCTGGGTTCATTTCTCAGCACTGCAAGAAAATAAAGTCTTCAATAATGGTGTTTACCAGGATAAGTTCCATCATCACAGAAAGTAAACATACCAGTTGATGTTGAAATTTTGTAAGTCTCAGAAATCTCAAAGAGTCAAATAATGAAGTGAGCCCTATAACTGCCCTGGCTGACTGCATGGAGAGAATTTCCAGGCTGTGGTACAGAGAGGACCTTAGGTGGAGCCCAATGGACTCCTTGAGTTGAGGAGACATATGTGATTGACTTTGGAAGCTAAGTTGCTGGAGTGTGGGAACAAAGTCCTAGAGAGGAAAAAACTCTCCATAGAGGACAAGCTGGCATTCAAGAAAGGAAACTACGAAGGCCTAGGTAAATACTGCTGAAAGACTTGTGAGACTAAGCCTTGAAATTTTACAGGCACAGAAGAAGTGCGTGGTCCCACCAGGAGACTAGAAAACTAGATTTGTAGAGAACTTGGAAAGGTTTTGTTTCCAAAGTAAAGTGAAATGAGCTATAGACTAAATGCTGTTCTGGCCCTCCCTGTATATCTTAAAAATAAGACTTTCAATGATCGAATTGTATCTGAGTGCCTTAACTGAATCCCAGAATGAAGCTTAATAATATTGGGCTATAAATCTATCTCACATCCCACAATTAAAACTGACCACATTACTAGATATGTAAAGAAGTACTTCCAGACGTTTTTCGATGCCTCTTTCAGGTTTTGCACATCCTGTGAGCAGAGGTACTGACTGCCTTTGTTCTAACCAGTCTTCCCATGAATGTTTATATAGCAAAGAACTTTTGAAGATAAAGTGTCTCTTTTTGATACAAAGGACAGGTTTGCTTACATCCATAGAAGATAAGAATAGTGCTTCCCTCCAGATCAAAGAGTAGATAGGGCTACTGTCTCCTACAAAAGATTCATATTCTCTATTCTCAAGAGCCCTTCCCTGTGATACAACCCACTAAATGTGCAGATATGTCTTGGCCCATCTCAGGTCACCCTGTGTAACTGGGACTCCATAAATGGCAAATATATTCTGGATTCTGTTATTGATTTGAATAATTAACCATTTTTTCATCAAATGAACAAGTTAACTGCAGGTAGTACAAAATCTCTTCATAATCCTTGAGAGGAAGCAGGAAAAGTATGAACCTAGTCAAAGAAAAGTCAGTTGCTAGAAGTCAATTTAGGAATGGCACAGATCATTAATATGAAAGAACATGTTAAAATTATTATGGCTGAACTCTACATTTTGAAGAAGCTACAAGAAGTATTGATCGTGCTAATTTATGAAATTAAAAATATAAAAGGACCCAAATTGAGTTTCTAGAGATAAAAACCACAGTGCCTGAGATAAAAATTACAGTAGGTGAGAGTAATGATACATTAGACACTAAGGGAGATTAGTCAATTCAATATGTAGTGATAGAAACCATCCAAATTGAAACACAAAGAGAATAAATAACCGAATAAAATGAGTGGAGCATCACTGAACTATGGAAAATTTGAAAGGTAATTGTGGTTGCAATACGCATGAATTGAAATCTCTGAAGGTGTGTGTGAGAGGAAGAGACAAAAAAATTATTTGAAGTAAATGTGGTGAAATGTTTTTAATTATTCAGTGAACCTGTGGACCCACATGTCCTGGAACTTTTATAGTCCCCATAAAGACAATTATTGCTAAGCACTTCATGATCAACTCAGTCAACACAGCAATAAAGAGAACAATCTGAAAAACAATCAGAGAAAAACTGCATACAGAGGAATAAGGACAAGGATGAAGCAAAAATCTCACTGGGAGTTACAAATATAAATACACACAAAAATATAGATGAGTCACAAATATAACGTTGAACTCTAGAAGGTACAAAAGCATATATAGATGCTACTCAACTTAGGGTTACGTCTTGATAAATCCAGAAGTTGAAATGATCATAAGTCCAAAATTCATTTAATATTCTAACAAGCCAATCACCATAGATAACCCTAACCTAGCTTTAAGTGTGCTCAGAACATATATATAGCCTAAAGTTAAGCAAAATCATCTATCACAAAGCCTATTTTAGAATAAAGTGATGAATGTCTCATATAATTTGTTGAACATTGTACTGAGTGGGAAAAACAGAATGGCTGCATAAGTAAGCTTCCCCAACACCAAAAGTCAAACATAAATTGGGTACCACCTACATATTGCACAATTTCATATCTATTGAATTTGAATGCAAGAAAAAAATAACATT